GGCGGGGAGCAGCCACTGCCCTCCAGTCTGGGCGACAGTGAGACTCCAACTCAAAAGAAAAGAAAAAAGAAAAAAAAGAAACCCAGTCCTAATTCTTGGCGTATTTGCTAACTTCATTTCACCAGCAGCTGAACCACGGGCATTTCTGCCCCAAACCCTCCTGTTTTCCTGTCGGCCTACCTTCCCCCCCCCACCTTTCCCTTTCTTCCCCTCCTTCCTTCCCTCGTTCTTTTCTTCTCTTTCTGTTTCTTTCTTTCTTTCCTTCTTACCTCTTTCTCTCTCTCTCCTTTCTCTTTTTCTTTCTTTAAGTTCTTTTTTTTAATAAGAGAAGAGATTTATATGTCAACAAGTTATGATTCAGTAGCAGCTGCATTGATTCTTTTTTTTAATTGGGCAAGGATGTTAGATAGACACAAGTTCTATATGGTTGAAATAAATATTTGAGTTTACAACTTAGAGTTGTAAACGAGCATACATTTACAGTAATATCCCCTTAGTCTGAACTCCCTTATGTGAACAATCTTTTTTCTAGGTGGCAGAGTTACTTCTTTTGAACGGAGCAGACCCATTATATAGAGGTGACAATGGAAAGTGTGCTTTGGATGAGGCCAAGGATTCACGTATGAAGCATCTTCTTGAGAGATATGTTTCTAAACATAAAAAATATCTTACATCAGGTAAGATATAACAGCTACCCTGTTATAGCTGTTAGTCATATCAATAAAAAGTTATGGAAATTAAGTTTACATTCCCCATAAGTCTTGAGAAAAATTCATCCAGTGGTATCTTTGCTTCATTCTTTTAAGTTACACTGACTTAATGTGCAAATGCACATAATAACATTCTAAAAGAAAGGTAATACTTTTCCCAGGGTTTTACATTGCAAACAGTTAAGAAACCTCTTATAAATTTTGTTTTTTCCCCATAATCCTAGACTGAATAACCTAATGAGATGTAAGTTGTTTTTGGTGTGATCCTCTTCAATGTATATGACCAGGATTCTTTATATCTGGTCCTTAAGAATCTTTTCTGATGGTTATACTTTTGCCTTACCGAACATTACTCTATTAAATTAAACTGCAAAACAGCTGCAATTATAATTATCAGTAAAAAATATTATGTGAAAATAATTTAAATGTGACATTGTTTTTATATTCTCTTTAATGCATTTGTTAGATTTTTTTTTTTTTTTGAGTTGGAGTCTCACTCTGTTGCCCAGACTGGAGTGCAGTGGCCACTCCCAGCCACCACAGCCTCGACTTGCTGGACTCCGGCGATCCTTCCGCCTCAGCCTTCCGAGTAGCCGGAATTACAGGCGCGCGCTACCACGCCTGGCTGATTTTTTGATTTTATTGTAGAGATGAAGTCTTGCTGCCCAGGTGGGTCTCGAACCTGTGGGCTCAGGCAATCCACTCACCTCAGCCTCCCAGAGGCCCGGGTGTTGTTAACATTACTACGTTCCTCTGCTCAGAACTCTGCAGTGTCTCTTTGTTTAATCTAGAAGAAAAACCAGTATCCTTACAATGGCCTACAAGTTCCTGTCTCAGCTGGCCACCCTTCTAGTTAGCTCCTTCTCCTGCAACTCTCTATCCCCATTACTTAATTTCAGTCATGCAGTCTTCCTTGCTCTTCCTCAGATATGACCCCCCCTTTAAGTCTTAGTTCAAATGTCACCTTCTCAATGAGGCCTAGACTACCCTATCTAATACTGCAACTGCCCCTTCTCACCCTCACTATATTAGTTAATTATCACCATAATAAAAACTCTCGTATATAGCAGCTTAAAACAACAGATATATTTTGTGTTGCATAGTTACAGAGGGTCAGGATTCTGGGAGCAGTTTAGCTCCCAGTGTAGCTGAATGGTTCTGGATCAAGGTCTCTCACAGATTGCAGTCCTCTCTAGGGCAGGAAAATCTACTTTCAAGCTTACAAACATGGTTGTTGAGAAGTCCTTGATGGTTGCCAGCTGAAGACTTTAGTTACTTGCCATATGAGCTTCTCCGTGGGCTGCTGACAGCCTACCAGCTAGCTTAGAGCAGGGAAGCACAGAAAGAGAATGTATTTAAGACAAAAGCCAGTGTTTTCCATAAGGTAATCTCAGAAACGGTATACCATCACTTTTGCCATATTCTATTTGTTAGAAATGAGTCATTAAGTCTGGCATACATTCAAGGGGAGCAGACTTAAGCTCTCCCTCTTAAAGGGAGGATTTTAAAAAAATGTATGGACATATCTTTAGAACCACTACACTCACTCCTACCTCTGTCACCTGTAGTACTTATCACCTCGTGTGTTAGATAATTGACTTTTTAAATTTTCTGTTTTTTCCCTCCAGAATCTAAATTTTATGAAGGAAAGGATCTTTATTTTCTCTGATGAATACTAAAGTGTCTTGTGCATAGCAGGCATTCAGCAAATGTTTGTTAAATAAATAGTGTGTCAGTCCTCTGAAACAAATTCTTTCCATTCAAGAAATGTATATATATTTCATTGCCTTTTATTAAACTGTATTTTAATAAAATTTTACCCAAGATATATTTTATCCCAGAGACTTTTAAATATTATCATCTTTATTTCTTTCCTTGATATTTTCCCTTTGTACGCAGGAAAGTTTAGTCTGAGAATCCTTGTAAGTATAAGTGAGTGGGCCTCCCTACAAGTCCTTCAGTTTTCTCCTATCAGAACAAAACGTAGGCTGGTGGTGGAAACCCATCGTCTGCTACAGCTCTGTCTCTCTCTGGAACAAATAATACAGCTATGACTGTTTTGTCAGCTCTTTGATACACTGTAAATTCAAAATCCTTTGGTGGCAAGTAATCAGCTTAAGGCAGAAAAGGGAGTTTTTTGGCAGAACAGCTCAAGAGTTGAGGAAAAGCTGAAGATTCAGACATTGGAAAGGTCAAGAGTAAAAGGAGCTCCAGGGATCCAGGCAGCAGGAACCGATGGGCTCTTTCCAGAGAGCTTTCCTGTCAGGCTGAGGGCTGGACAGGCAGAGCAGCTGGTGCTCACTAACCCACTTCCGCTGGCATTTATCCGGGTTTTTGGAGGATCATTTATTCATTCAGTGTTGCTGTGTGTCAAGTATACCGCGCTAGAGCCTAATGATAACAAAATGAATAAGGAACAAGGATGCAAGCAGTTGCAGCGAAGAGTGTAAGAAGAAATGCTCAGGCCCTATAAGAGTACATAAAAAAAGACACATGACTCAGGCCTCTTTATGTCTAAGAGGATAACAAGGTGGATGTTACCTATATATCATGGTTAATGATTGAGTGTTAACACAAACCCTTTGATAAGTCTCTTAAGAAAGATCTTTTCCTGATCTGAATGGTTTTAAGTGAAATGTAAAGTACTTCTCATCCCTGCTGGGTTCTAGTTAATATAAAATAGCTCTTCCAATTATTGCTGGGTTTGTCTGCTGTTGAAAATTAGGTGCAATATAGCAATCTGAATATAGCCAGTCATGAGACTGGTTTTTCTTTATGACTAATGGATCCATTTTATTATTTTTATGGCCATTTATTTTATGAATTATTTGCTTGCTCAAGACATGTAATTGTTTGAATGCCGCTGATGAAGCTAAGACCTGGGTCAAAACACTGATTTTGTAATAAAGAGAAGGTCTACTATTGATAATTAAAGGTCATCTGGAGGCAATTAATTAATTTTTTTTTTTTTTAGAGCAGAAGTCTTCCTCCCTCTTAGCCAAATCACTCCTGAAGAGAGACAAACAGTAACTTGTTAAGGCCAGGTCTATAAAAACTCATTGAGATAAATTAATCATCATATTTACATTTCAAGCTATATGAAAAATTGCAAATAAAATATCCAGTTGGAGGCAAAAGTATATATATTTTTAAGGTTTTGCTTTGATTTGCTTGATTGCTTGACTTCTCTATTTTAAATAATAGCAACATGCATTGTTTTGCTCTCCTGGGAATGCTTTCTCCAGCATTCTAGCTCTTTATCCAGATCAGAATCTCCTATTCACTAGTGCCGGTCTCTAGTCTCCTGTCCCTACCCAAGGAAATGTCTTTCATGAGAAAGAATTCCAAACTTTTCTTTTTAAGACGTAGCTCCCATTCTTTCTTTGTGAGAGAATGTACTAAACTGGGTTGCATTGTCATGCTTCACCATATGGTTTTAATATTTCTTAAGTTTGAACTTTTAAATTTTGTCATTAATTTTCAACCCGGTTTTTAATATAAATGCAAAATTGATTTACTTAAACAATATCTGGACGTTTAAAAAGGGTATTCATTTAAAAATTCTAGTTGGGCTGGACTCAGTGGCTCAGCCTGTAATTCCAGCACTTTGGGGGACCAAGGCGAGTGGATTGCTTGAGCCAGAAGGTTCAAGACCAGCCTGGGCAACTTGGTGAGACCTCATCTCTACAATAAATAAAAAATTATCCAGGTGTGGTAGTGCGTGCCTGTAGTGCCAGCTACTTGAAAGGCTGAGGTGGAAGGATTGCAGAAGCCCAGCAGGTCAATGCTGGGGTGGCCGTGAGTGTGCCACTGCACTCCATTCTGGGTGACAGAGTGAGACAGATTCTAACTAAAAAAAAATTAAAAATTAAAAAAATTCTAGATGAATAACTTTTAATCGTGGGAATGGTGAATAAAGAACTTTCCTCATAAAATATATTTGCTGCTCTTCTATCTTATGGTAAAATACATCTACTTTGGCATAGGACAAAGGTTAATTTTTGCTAGCTTTATAGCTATAAAGCGTGTAGGGTAAGTTAATATCTCTACTTTTCTCATCTGTGAATTTGTGATTGTAATATCTACTCATCTTCCTGCACATCTATGTGATTGTTAGTGTGAGGATTGGTCTTAGTATATGTAAAATAAAATACCTCAACACATGGTAGGAGCTCTAAATGGCAGAAGGAAAAGAATACAGCTTCATGACTAAAACTCACTACCTCAGAATTTATATCTGGGAATTAATTTTTAGTATTAGTTATATTTATTAGTAGATAATTAGCATTAGTTATTTTATTGGGTCTTTTTGTATGTTAAGTTGTATACTAGGTTGGTTATATTAGGGAATATAAAGTCTTAAAACTGGGATGAAGTAAAAGCTCCTTTCTTCCTTCCAGATTCTCTTAGGAACCATGCCTGACAGACTGGTTGCTGAAAAATATTATTTTTCTAATCTTTTGTTTAAGAACAAAAATTTGGAGAAGTCACCATGTATTGTATGCTCTTAGAATATAGTAATTGTAACAGCAATAATAATGGAGCACTTTCTGTGTGCCTGCAATTCCTTTAAGCTCTTTACATGGGTCATATCATTTAATCTTTATAATTTTATAAGGTCGGAACTATTATTAGCTTTCATTTATGGACATTTTATGGGAGTAGAGACATTAAGAAACTTGCCCAAGGTCATCCAATTGGTAAGTAAGTGAATTAAGATTGAAACTCAAAGTGAGTCTCCAGAGACTGTGCTCTCAGCCCCTTTGCTTAAATAGAGGGACATGTTGTTTGCCTTTCCTCACCAGAATGAAGTGAATGAATAAATGCCAGGCTTCCTTATGCACATCGTAACTTGATGGCTATTGTGAAAATTATTCCCAAGAAATAAATTAAAATGCTCTCTTTTCCACTTATATCATTGTCAAAGTATTTTACATTTCGAGCTTATTTAAAGAAATGTTTGGTTTTTTTATGTCTCACACATAGGGTGTTCATTTATTACTTCCTCTATCAAATATTTATTGAATACCTCCTATGTGCAAGCCATTATTTTTAGGTTTTTATCTTTCGTAGGCAAATGTATATGTAGGTAACTATGATTCCACCTTCAGTATTTAAGAGAGACATTAAAGGACTTTCCTTTTATTGTAAACCTAGGTTTTCTTTTTTTTTTTCAAAGCATCATTTTTCCCCTATGCATTCACAAGGTAATTAGCCTTCTCCACGTGTGTATGTTTCTGAAGAGAATGCAGTACTTAAACTAAGACTTTACTAAGCAGATATATTAGGAAATGATAATAATCTAATTAACTATGAAAGAATTTTTTTCCCACATAGAAATAGCTTGCACACAGTTGCAAAATCTACTGAATGAAGAGGGCATATCTGGATATATATGAGGAAAATAAAATATACTGAGTTTAGTATCAATTTTAAGTATTAGTTATTTTGTTGCGTCTTTTTTTTCTTTTCCTATAGAAATGTTTTTAGCCCTCTTAAGATAGTATTTGGTTTTTAATATGGAAATTAGAGATTATAGGAATCTTATATGTATCAATTTTAATGTAAAATGTTTGCATAATTTCAGTTATTCCACTTGGTATTCTCATGCAAAGAACTTGTGGGTTTTAGAAGTCTAGTAACTGACCACTGGAAACTATTTTCTTTTATCTTGCAGCCCAAAAAAATAGCGCCAATCCATTAGACACAGAGGATGTACACCAGCACAAGGTATAGCTATGTTTGGTGATAAACATTTTTATAGGATGCAACTGTCGGTTGTTTTATGGGTCATCAGAAGGAAAAGAAGACTCCTGGAGCAGTAGTAGCAGTGACTTCACATTGCTTCTAAGGCACAGCAGAATAACGAGAATCAGAGGGTTCTGAGCTGTAGGTTTGAGAAGCTGTTGAGTCAATGTAGCCTATTAGTAGTGGGCACACTAATATGTTGGTAGCAATTTCCTTTCTCCTCCTCTTCGTGGAGCCCAGGGTTTATCAACCATGTCGAACTTCCTGTGCCTTAAGCACAATACAAGAGTCAAAGGTGACAGTCCATTCCTTCAAACTTTACATGGTAGGTGGTTACTCTTTATTGGTGCTTGAGTTGTGGCAAGTGAGAGGAAGCAGTATTCCTCTGCATGAATAATCTTTTCATGCAGACCAATTTAGAAGCATATCTGTCTTCTTGTTTTTAAATTCCTTTTCTACTGCCTTTTCTGTAGTTCTTCTGGATACTAGAGGAAGAAACTCTCCTAATTCTAGCTTTAGTTGTATAATAGAAAAGGAGAGTGTTTCTTAAGCATTTGTGTAAAGTTTCTTTATAAAGGAAGCTTTGATCTGATTAGTTTAAATGCCTATAAAAATTAAGTAGATTAAAATTTTATATGATGTTTAATAGATTAATCATGAAAATACTGGTAAGAAGGAATTAAAATATACAGTAGAAAATAAAGATCAATATACATACTAAGTCTGAATCTATTACATTTGCCTTCCTTCTATTAATCTACTTTTCTGAAATATCATCTTGGACATATCCCAGAAGGCCCTGTGGTTAGATCGAATTATAAAATCGAATGGAATAATGGTTTGATTTGTCAGCTATCCAGATTGAATTGAATATAGCTAAAAATTGAAACTAACTATATATATTTTTTCTATAGAAACCAAAATTCAGTTCTGAAAATTGCATTTTGTGTGTTGGTGATGAACATTCCAATAGACAGAAGCCAGAACATGTAAAAGTCAATAACACAAGCAAAGAGAGTTTATTTATAAATGAAGATGTCTATGAATGTTGCCAAGGAGATTCCCAAAGCACAAAATTTAGTAAATCCATGCATAAACAATCAACTCTTAACCAAATACACTCTACAGGACTTAGAAAGGGCAATGTCCATAACATCAAAGATCCCAACACAAATGTGCCTAGAGGTTCAAGAAGAAAAACACAACCTAAACGACCTCAAGGAGATGATGGAGACTGCAATTCAAGAAGGTCGGTCGCTGTCTCTTCTTCCAGGAGAGTAAACAGAGTAGTTACTCGTCAGCAGCATATTCTGCAAACTCTTGATGACCTTCCAGAAGTGTCATGTGAACCTTCTAGCCCAACCTTGTCAAACCTGAAAAATGGATTAGATAATAATATTAAGCCTTGTTCAGTTTCCAAAGAGACACATACCCAGAGCCTAGACTTATCAAATGGTCAAGAAGCACAATTCTTAGAATCCATAGACCAAACCGAAGCTGCTGCTTTCTCAGGATCTTCATTACATGAAAAAATTAATTTACTATTTGTTACTACAGATAAACAGCCTCACACTCTCCAGGAACAACTCAGTAGCCCTTATAAACCTCATGAAAACAGTAACTCAGTCCAAAAAGATAAGAGTCTTAATAAATGGGAAATTTCTTTTCTATCTTTTATAAAGAGAAACTGTGATGTTGATGATGATGGTGATTGCTCTTCTTCTGAGAAGGTTGTAACATCTAAAAAGATAGTATGTTCAACAGATTGCAAAGACCACTATAATTATAAAGATAATATAACAAATAGAAAAGATAATGATTTTCAGCAATATTTACCTTCTGAAGGTAGTTTTTTACAGGAAAATGAATCAAAAGCAGGCAGCCCAACCACATTTCCACAACAGGAAGCTGTTAGCTTTTCTGATCCAGAAAATGCAGTAATTTCTGGTCAACATGTTGCAAATTGTGAGCAATGCATATCTGGGACATCCTTTGATCACTCACATGGTAGTCCTGAGCAAACTTCCATGGCCTGTATGAGAATACTTTCAACACCCGAGTTTTCAGAATTGACTAGTCATGTGGAGCTGTTCAGAAAGCCTCAGGATCATAGCCCTAGAACACCAACTTGTTTAATTAATCAAACAGATACACGTACTGTGGAAAAGGTGACAAAGAAACAAGACACTAAAAAGAATTACACTGATAAAGGCCAGAAAATAAGTTCTTCAGCTGGACCTTTATCCACAGCTGTTCATTCTAAAGTAATAGAAACAACTGAAGTTGAAAAAAGGAGACAAAATCTTCCAGAAAGTGGGACTATACATACTATAGATTTTCATCCCATTGACAATATGAATGAAGAATTGACCAATGTCTCACAACTTAGTCCAAGAGAAGAGAAAGAAATTTCTCACAAACCAGGTATGAATAGTATTCCTCAATTTATACACAGTTCCTATAGATTTACTTATTTTTATAGAAATTTCCAACTGAATTCTGATCAACCTGTGCCCAGACTGACAAGACTGAGGATATATGGGCCATGATTTGAGATGCTGCTCAGCCTAGTAGTTAAGTCATAGTGTATCCTTTAAAAATAAAACTCTTGTTATCAAAGATGACTGCTAAACTGATATTGACAGAAGTTCATAAACAGTATTTCTATCAGTTTCTATGTTTATTTTTAATATAGTACTTTAGTATCAGAAACCTCACATTTTAATAGCAGAAAATTGTTAGCTCTGGCAAATTCAACTGTTCGATGTATTCCCATCAGAATTGCAACCAGCAAACTTCTTGTTTGTTATATAGAAACTTCTTTAAAAGCTTCCATTTCCTTACAGACCAGCTTGGAACAAAAACTTTTTTTTTTTTTTTTTGATTTGGAGTCTCACTCTGTTGCCCAGGCTGGAGTGCAGTGGCAAGCTCACGGCCACTGCAGCCTTGACCTGCTGGGCTCAGGTGATCCTTCTACCTCAGCCTTTCAAGCAGCTGGAACTACAGTGCACCACCACACCCGGCTAATTTTTCAATTTATTATAGAGATGTGATCTCGCCTAGTTGTCCAGGCTGGTCTCAAACCCCCGGGCTCAGGCAATCCTCTCGCCTCTGCCTCCCAAAGTGCTCAGATTACAGGCGAAAGCCACCACGCCCAGCTAGAACAGAAACTTTTAAAAAATGTGAATCTTTCTAGTCATATAACCAGGAAAGAGAACTACAAAACTGATAAACATAAAATGTTTATGTTTCAGATGAGGAACTAACTAATAATATCAATGGAGAGAAAAACACTATAAGAAATTGTGAAGAGAAAAAAAAAACAGAGTCAGAAATTCACATGCCTACTAATATCCAAGGACACAAAAAAGCTCAGAATGTCAGAAAAAGACAAAGTTTTTTGAAAGCTACCTGCAACCAAGGTTTGTATTTCCTATAATGGTATAGGTGAAAGTTTGTGTCATCAGGTCCAGCAATCCACTCTACTTCAGGGAATTTTAAAAATTTCAGATATACTGTTTATTTTTAAAGTTATTCACTAAGTGATGAGATTATTTCAGTGATATTTGTTATTAAGGCACCACTGGAGAATCCATTAGTCTTCAGAAGTATTCTTGTCATGTTTCTGCCTGTGACTTCTAGTTTAAGATGTTAGAGGAGATAAGGTAAACAGCAGAGACAGCAGCAGTACTTAATGGGGTAGCAGGGTTATTCATTAAGTTACAAGATTATTTCAGTGGTATTTGTTATTAAGGCACCACTGGAGAATCCATTAGTCTTCAGATATATTCTTGTCATGTTTCAACCTGTGACTTCTAGTTTGAGTGGAAGAGGAGATCAAGTAAACAGCAGAGACAGCAACAGTATTTAGTGGGGCAACAGGGGTGAGCTGTGTGATCCCCTAGATACTTCCATTCAGCCCTTTTAACATAAAGGAAATTAAAGAAGCATAGCCACTAGTTTCTTTATGTCAAAGGAATGAGCTGTGTGTGGCTTGGCAGTATGGACAAGTTCTTGGAGATGGTTCTGTGATGAGCAATAGGCTGAACCACTTGAGGTTACACGTTATGTGACGAAAAGTTTATCTCCTGACTGCTAAAAGGACGGACACTGGATTAGACATTACGCACCTCCTCTCATTTTCCCCTCTCACGTGTGCTGAAGCTCTTCTTTATACATACCTCCTGTAATGGTTTGAAGGGTGGTCCCCCAAAACATCCTGTCCTAATCCAGAATTTGTGAATATTAATGTATATGGTAAAGGGGTGAATATTAACTTTTTTGGGGAAACGTCTTTGCATTTGTAAAGACTGGCAATAAGGAGCTCATGCTGGATTACCCGGGTGGACCCTAAATCTGATGACTGTCCTTATGAGAGAAAGCGGGGAGGTTTGAGGCACCGAAGACGAGAAGATGATGTGAAGACAGCAGAGTGATGTAGTCACAAGCCACGGAGGCCAGGAGTGCTGGCAGCCGTCAGAAGCGGCAGCGGCAGGGAAAGGTCTCCCCCAGAGCATCCAGAGAGACAGCAGCCCTACTGACACTTCAGTTTGGGTTTCTGGTCTCCAGGCACGAGAGAGTACTTTTCTGTTTTTTTTGTTTTTTTTTGAGTCGGAGTCTCACTCGGTCGCCCAGACTGGAGTGCGGTGGCTGCTCCCGGCCACCGCAGCCTCGACCCGCCGGGCTCCGGCGATCCTTCCGCCTCGGCCTTCCGAGTAGCCGGAATTACAGGCGCGCTACCACGCCCAGCTGAACTTTTCTGTTTTTTTAAGCGCTCCGTCTGTGGTAACCTGTTGCAGCTATCGGGAAACTATATGCCTCTCCAGCAACACTTAATCTTATTTACATGTATTTACAAGTCTGTCATTCCAGTAGGTTGTGAGCCACTTGAGCAGAGAATTGAACTGACCCAGAGGTAAGAACTGACCCAAATCCAGACATGTAGGGATTTCTTGACACAAAGCCACACTTAATCTCCTGCTGATCACCCAACAGTGAATTCAACTGGGCCCTGAGTTCTGTGGTACTCCCCTCGCCCTCTACAGATTTTCAATCGTGATTTTAGTTTCTTCTCATTTAAATATGAATGAATGGACAAAGATAACAAGCATTTGCAGAAAGCCCTAATATGAAAGAGACATCAAAGTAAACTAAACAGACCAAAGGAACCCAGAAGAAACAGAAACAATGCAAAAATCAGGAAACATCTAAAATTTGTTTTAAAAGGTATATAGGAGAGAACAATACAGACCTCTTAGATGTTAAAAATATAATAGCAGAAATTTGAAAAAATATATTGTAGGGTTAGAAGGTAGAGCTTCACAAGTCTACAAAAAAACAAAGAAAGAAAGAAATTGGAAAATAAAAGAGGAAAAAAACAATAAAATTAGAAGATCACTCTTGGAAATCCAGGGAGAACAGTGTGTAAATGAGAAGAAATCATCAAAGAAATAATACAAGAAATAAAAGGAGTTTCCATACTGAAAGTCCCCCCAAATCTCCAGTACAGTGAACAAGGCACCTCACTGTGAAATTTCAGAACTGGGAAAAAGAGAAAATTTAAAATTTCCAGAGAGGGAAAAAAATGGTTACATACAAAGAATAGAAATTTGAGTATTTCTTCATAGTATTGTGCTTTCTAATAGTAACACTGGATTCCAAACTACAGTGGACTTTATGAAGAGGTTTAGTGGTACTACTGTATTTCCTTTTGAGTTTCTGTCAGATTTTGTTATTTTAAAATTTTTTGTTAAATGTTGAAAAGACTTATGATGACAGTAACTTTGAGAAGTTTTTGAGATTTTGCTGCAAATGTTTATCATATGGCTATCCTCTTTGCTACAAACACACCAGAACAAGGTAAGAGGATTTGTACCATCCACAGCAAGCATTATTGGAAGAGACTTTCAGTTCAGACTTGCAGTCTGCATACCCACAATCTTAGGTATTTAATAACTTTCAAATATATTCTTTCTCTTTATATATAGGTATACGTCTCCAATTCTTCCAATAAAGAATCTGTGGCCACTGCCACAGGGAGAGAGGAAGAAGTGCTAGGTCCTCTCTCTGTACCGTCCCGCCTCCTCCCCTCTTGGAAAATAAAAGTTTCTGAGTGCTGATCTCTAAAGAGCAATATATTTTTGTCTGTGTGTCAGTGAAAGATAGATGTGAGACTCAGTCTTCCCTATGATTCATATAACCCCAAAATCAATTTTTTAGAGAATAATACTCTAATCTTTTTCTCTTTTGTCCTGAAATTATATGTGTGCTTGATGACATTTAGAAATAGAGTAAGAAGGTTCCCAAAGTTTAATGCAGTGGTTCTCAAACCTTAGCTTGGATCAGAATTTCCTCGACAAGCTTGTTAAAACAGATTGGTGGGCCCCACCCTCAAAGAGTCAGGTGTTTTCGTTGTCTCTACTGCTATATAACAAATTATCACATTTATTACCTCATAGTTTCTGTAGGTCAGGAGTTGGGCGTGGCTGTCAGGTCCTCTGACAGGATCTTTCATAGGCTGAAGTCTAAGTGTTGGCCAGGACTGGGGTCTCATGTGAGTGCTGGACTAAGGAAGAACCCACTTTCAGGCTCATGTGGCTGTTGGCAGAACTCATTTCCTTTAGGTTAGTGGGACTGGGGCCCTCAGGTTTTAGCTGGTTATTGGCCAGTGGCCATCCTCAGTTTCTTGCTGTGTGGGCTTCTGCTAGCAGGACAGAAAACGTAACAATCTCTTGTAATCCGATCAGTGTTGAGGTACTCTGTAGGTTAGAAGCAATTTAGAGACAGCCCTCCAGAATTTGAGGCAGGCTGTAGAGTTTTTCTAACAGGTTTCCTCATGGGTGCTGGTAGCACTGATTAATGAGCGTTCTTTTTCTGTCTCAACGCCCTAGCCCTTTGCGTTGCCTTGCATCTCAGTGTGAAGGCTTCTCTGACGCGGCTCCTGCGGAAAATGAGCCTTCAGGTCCCTGGGTTGGAGGAATGACTGCCCGGCAGCTGGGCACCGGGCGGGGAACTTGGGGCTCCGGCTCCTCTGGGCACGCGCTTGTAACCCGCTTCCGGGTTTCCAGCCTTACTCCACACACCCGCCGTCCGTAGTGCCTGATGCCCCTAAAGGTTGGGTGCCTGAGGTCAGACTGTTCTCTCCCTCTTTCCTTTGCGCTTGGGTTAAAGCATTCCCCGCTCTGCCAAGTCAGTTCTGCCTGCTTCATCAGTGACTTTCCAGACTTTGTTGAAGCATTGGTCCTCGCTCGTTTTCTCTTCCACTTTTAATTTTCCTTTTACTGTCATGTTAGCATGGTTGTGGCAGGAAATGGGAGAAGCATATGATCAATTCGTTACTTTTTAAGTCTGTCTGACTTGCAGTGCTTTGGACAGCGATGTTTTAACACGGTCTTTGTGAAATACAAATAGAAAGCCCAATAGGTCATGGTTTGATACTTGGCACCTGCATGATCAGGAATATACCCATTGAGATGCATAATAGCTGCAGAAAGAGGATTTTTAAAAATGATATCTCAGTGTGTCTCAAGAGCATTTCTATCCATTGCTGAAGGACTGTTGGGAATGAGATGAGTGTACAGCTGAAGCAAGTTGTTTATTTCTTCCAATCAAGTGTTTAATAAAGTAACTAACCAACTGCTAGAATGAGTGCAAAGTAATGTGCTGAGATGTTCTATAATTTTTTCACAAGTTATATTTTGAAACAACAGCAATGATAATATTAATTTATTTATGTTTCTGTAGCTAACCCTGCTTAAGATATTTTGAAGAAGTTATGTATTTTCTAAGATCCTTTATAATAATCAGCATTTGTCAGAAAAGAAACTTCAGTTTTGTTATAGGAATGAAAACAGCTGGAGTAAATAAGAGGAATGCCAGAGGAGAAAGCAAGCTTCACTTGGCTGCCAGAAGAGGAAATCTGTCTCTGTTGAAAACTCTAATAGAATCTGGAGCAGATGTGAATCTAAAAGATAATGCAGGTTTGGATCCTTTCAATTTAGTTGTTTCATAATTTGAACTAACTGAAATCACATTTCAACATTTCTCACCCCAAATTTGATCCTGGCTGATATGTAAATTATTACTTTGAACAACCATATTAATACTGTTATTCAGTTGAATAGTAAGATTTATCATTACAAAAATAACTGTCTCCTTTGAAACAGTTTTTGGCATCCATTTGGGAGCATTCAGAGAGGGTATACAGATTGGAGAGTCAAGGGAGTTAGGCCTTTTCATTGGAAGTCTTAATTCTGTAACTTTGGAGATAATGCAAAATTTTCTCGTTTTTCTGTCCCTTCTTCTCTTTCCTTCTCTCTTTATACTGTTCATTTTTTCTTGCTTCTTTTATTTTTATTCTAAATCTCATTCAAAACATTTGTCTTCAAACATTTTGTTAAGTGCAAAAGAATGTTGTATGAAGAACTCCACAGAGAAAAACTCAAAGGTTGATTAAGTCAGGTGTAATTTTAAAGAGAAATGTGACAATGCAAAGATGCAAATATGAAAGTCAGATACTTGAATATCTGAGTTGAAACCAATTGAAATGATTAGTATTTACTCTGGTCTTCATATGCTTTTACATTCTGTGAGTCTTCTGCTTTGGCACTTGTGTCAACAACTGTTTGTGATGAGATCAATTTGCTTTAAAAAATCAAACGTAGCCGGGCTCGGTGGCTCAGCCTGTAATCCTGCACCTTTGGGAGGCTGAGGTGAGTGGATTGCCTGAGCCCGCGGGTTCGAGACCCACCTGGGCAACTGGGAAGACCTCATCTCTACAATAAATAAAAAATCAACCGGGCGTGGTAGCGCACGCCTGTATTTCCGGCTGCTCGGAAGGCTGAGGCGGAAGGATCGCCGGAGCCCAGCGGGTCGAGGCTGCAGTGGCCGGGAGCGGCCACTGCACTCCGGTCTGGGCGACAGAGTGAGACTCCAACTCAAAAAAAAAAAAAAAAAAAAGAATCAAACGTGCCTGTAATCTCAGCACTTTGGGAGGCCAAGGCAAGTGGATTGCCTGAGCCTGTGGGTTTGAAACCAGCCCGGGCACCTTGGCAAGACCTCATCTCTACAATAAATCAAAAAATTAACCGGGTGTGGTAGCGTGCAGCTGTAGTTCCGGCTCCTTGGAAGGCTGAGGCGAAAGGATTGCCTGAGTCCAGCAGGTCGAAACTGGGGTGGCCGTGAGTGTGCCACTGCACTCCAGCCTGGGCGACGGAGTGAGACTTCAACTCAAACAGCAAAAAAATCAAACCTATACATTTTAAGCTCATAGGTTTCAGTATTATTTTTTGTCCAGTACTTAATATATATTTATGAATCAATATAGATATTAACTTCTTTAATGCAACAAAACTTTAGTAATACAGATATTGCATGTATGTTGATTTGTAAGGAGCAAGTTTTTTTTTTTCTTGTCTTTTTTAGGGTGGACACCGCTTCATGAGGCTTCTATTGAAGGATCTAATGATATAATTGTGGAGTTATTAAAAGCTGGTGCTAATGTTAATTGTGAAAATCTAGATGGAATTCTGCCCTTACATGATGCAGTGGCAAACAACCATTTACAGGTACAGTGAACATCAAATTAGATTCTTATTGCTTTTTCTTAGGAAAATAAATGAAGAAAATAAAAATATTTTAACTGAGAACTAAAGCGATTCAATGATTTTAAAAACCTGCTTAAAATTACAAATGAAGATACAATATTGTGTATGGATTAGAAAATCAGTACATATCTTAATCATTTTTTCATTGTTCTCACATAATCTAAAGCAGAAGAAAGAGTAAACACAGTTTATAAATCTAATACATTCCATTTTTGTTTAAGGTGATTTGCTTTTGTGCACAAAAGAGTATACATGTGACTGCTAGAGTTCTTTTTAACTCGGAATTTCTTAATGGGTTTGGGGCAAAACCTTTAATTGCCTATTTCATGGGTGTTGTATTTTTTTCTCTTTGGTTTTTCTTTATGAAGCAGCCATAGTAAAAATATCAAAAGAGACGATAACTAGGGTCATTATTTCAGTATCACTGAATTTCAAACCTAGACCTTAAAGCTTTTTTAAACTTATCTTTACCAATCTTAGGATAAAACATATTGTTATCAATAGGCAATATAGACTTCAGGAATAATTATTGGTTTGAAAAAATAGCCGGGCTCGGTGGCTCAGCCTGTAATCCCACGCCTTGGGAGGCTGAAGTGAGTGGATTGCCTGAGCCTGTGGGTTCGAGACCCGCCCGGGCAACTTGGTGAGACCTCATCTCTACAATAAATCAAAAAATTAGCCGGGCATGATAACGTGCGCCTGTAGTTCCAGCTACTCGGAAGGCTAAGGCGGAAGGATCGCTGGAGCCCAGCAGGTCGAGGCTGCGGTGGCTGGGTGTGGCCACTGCACTCCAGTCTGGGTGACAGAGTGAGACTCCAACTCAAAAAAACAAAACAAAACAAAACAAAATCAAGTGCTCATAGAATATTCACCAATATAGACCTTAGGCTGGGACATAAAACATTTCAATAAATTTAAGAGACATGAAATCATACCAAGTATGTTCTCTCACCACAATGTAATACAATTACTAATCAATAACCAAGAGATGTCTGGAAAATCCCCCAAATATTTATAAATAAAACTACATACTTCTAAGTAACCCATGGGTCATACACAAAATGAACTAGAAAGTATTTTTAACTGAATCAAAATAACACAATATGCCAAAATTTATGGGATTCAGCTAAAGCAATACTTAGCTGGAGTTTTGTGTGTGTATGTGTTTGGAGTTGGGGGGTCCAAGTGAGGGTTTATTACATAAAATAAGTAAGGGCCCTGGTGAGCCCGCTCTCCCTCGGTAGTGGAGGTACCCAGTATGTGATTGTGTGCCTTTTATCCCTCCTCCCTCCTTTTAATTTTTTTTAAGGTGGGATCTCACTCTGTCACCCAGGCTGGAGTCCAGTGGTATGATCGTGATGATCATGGCCCACAGCAGCCTTGACCCCCTGGGCTCAGGCGGTTCTTCTGTCTCAGCATTCTGAGTCGCTGGGACTACAGGCAGCACCACCATGCCTGGCTTATATATATATATATATATATATATTTATTTATTTATTTATTTATTTATTTATTATTTTTATTATTATTATTGGTAGAGATGAAGTTTTGCTGTGTTGCCCAGGCTGGTCTCAAACTCCTGGAATCAAGCAAGCAATCTACTTTCCTCGGCCTCCCAAAGTGTTGGGATTATAGGCATGAGCCATCGTGCCCAGCCTCCCTACCCCCTTTAGCAGTTTCCATTTTCGGTTGTTCCCACCTGTGTGCTCATGTGTCCAGTGATCAGGGCCCACTTATAAGTGAGAGCATATGGTATTCATTTTGTAGTTCCTGTGATAGTTCACTTAGAATGATGGTTTCCAGCTGCTTCCATATTGCTACAAAGGACATAATTTTGTTCTTCTTTAAGGCTACATGATATTCCGTTGTGTATATGTACCACATTTTCTTTATCCAGTTCACTTTTGATGGGCATCTGGGTTAGTTCCATGTTTTTGCTATTGTAAATTGTGCTGCAATGAACATACATGTGCAGGTGTCTTTTGGTAAAGTGATTTATGTTCCTCTGGATATATTCTCAGAAGTGGATCATATGGTAGCTCAATTTTTAGTTATTTCAGAAAACACTATACTGCTTTCAACAAAGGTTGAACTAGCTTACATTCCTACTGACAGTGTAGAAGCATTCCCTTTTCTCCACAGCTTCACCAGCACCTGCTTTTTTTTTTGAGTTGGAGTCTCACTCTGTCGCCCAGACTGGAGGGCAGTGGCCGCTTCCGGCCACCGCAGCCTTGACCTGCTGGGCTCCGGCGATCCTTCTGCCTCAGCCTTCTGAGTAGCCGGAATTACAGGCATGCACTACCACGCCTGGCTGATTTTTTTATTTATTGTAGAGATGAGGTCTCGCTATCCAGGTGGGTCTCGAACCTGCAGGCTCAGGCAATCCACTCACCTCAGCCTCCCAAAGGCGCGGGATTACAGGCTGAGCCACCAAGCCCGGCTTTTTTTTTTTTTTTTTTAATGATAGCCATCCTGATTGGTGTGAAGTGGTATTTCATTGTTTTGATTTGCATTTCTCTGATGATTAGCGGGACTGAGAATTTTTTCATATGCCTGTTGGTTGCTTGAATGTCTTCCTTTGAAAGGTGTCTGTTCATATCCTTTGTCCACTTTTTAACGGGATTGTTTGGGTTTTTTTTTCAATTGGCTTGAGTTCCTTGTAGATCCTGGATGTTGGACCTTTGTCAGATGCATAACTTGCATCTGTGCAAAAACTTATTAGCTTTATAAGGTCCCACCTGTCAATTTTAGATTTTGCTCTTAGCTGGAAATTTAAAACTTCAAATGCTTGTTAGAAAAAAAGAAGTACAATTCGGTGACTTCAGAATTGACTTTATGAAGCTATAAAAACAACAAAAAAGAGCAAAATAAAAGTTAGTAGGATAACAGAAATCAGGGAAATACAAAACAAGTGTTAGAGAAAATCAGCAGAGACAAAAGTTGATTATTTGGAAAGATTAACAGAATTTATAAACGTTTAGCCAGATTTTAAATAAAAAGAGAAAGCACACATTACCAATGTCAAGAATCAGGGGACACTACTATAGATCATACAGCCACTGAAAGGTTAATAAGGAATTATTATTGTACTGAAGGCTCTAGTCAGTGCATTAATGGAAGGAAATAAATAAAAGGCATAGATACAGGTTAGAAAGGAAGAGTAGAGCTGTCTTTATTTACTGTGACATGGCAAAGAAAAACTTTCTATTTCATGTGACATGATAAAAAAGTTACTAGAACTATTGCATGAATCTAATAAGGACTCAACTATGTTTTATATACCAGCAATGAACATTTGGAAGTTGAAATTTTAAAAATGTTATTTATAATTATATCAAAAATATTAAATATCTGAAGATATTTGGGGATGAATGTTGCAAAATATGTCCAAGGCCTTTACGCTGAATACTGCAGAACATTTCTGAGGGAGATTAAAGAAGACATAACTGCTTGGTGAGACCTTGTCTTTATAATAAATCAAAGATTAGCCAGGCATGGTAGTACGTGCCTGTAGTTCCGGCTACTTGGAAGACTGAGGCAGAAGGATCACTGGTACCCAGCAGGTCGACACTGGTGGGGAGGGGGGCTGTGAGCATGCCACTGCACTCCAGCCTGGATGACAGAGTGAGATTTCAACACACACAAAAAGAAGGCATATCTAAACAAAGATATATACAGTGTTCATGGCTTAGAAGACTCAGTGTTGTCATTTCTACCCAAACTGGTCTATAGTTTCAATGCCAAAACAATCAAAATCTCAACAGAAATTTTTATAGAAATTGATAAGCTGGTTCTGAATTTTTTTTTTTTTTTTTTGAGTTGGAGTCTCACTCTGTCACCAGGCTGTAGTGCAGTGGCATGCCTCTCGGCGACCACAGCTTCAACCTGTTGGGCTCTGGCGACCCTTCTGCCTCAGCCTTTCAAGTAACCAAAACTACAGGTGTGCACTGCCACACCCAGCTAAGTTTTGATGTATTGTAGAGACAAGGTCTTGCCAAGCTGCCCAGACTAGTCTCAAACCTGCGGGCTCAGGCAATCCATCTGCCTTGGCCTCCCAAAGTGCTGGGGTTACAGGCTGAGCCACCGAACCTGTCCTGGTTCTAAAGTTTGTATGGAAATCAAAAGAGCTTAAAATAGCCGAGACAATTTTGAGAGAAAAAATATTGGAGAACTTACACTACCTATAGTATAGATATATATTCTGTAGCTACAGTAATCAAGATAATGTGCTCTGGTGTAAATTAGAACATGGTTTCTCAACCTTGACATTAGTGACAAACTGGGGCTGAGTATTTTTTGTGTGTGTGTGGAGTGCTGTCCATTTATTCCAGGATGTTTAGCAGCATCTCTGACCTCTGCTCACTAGATGCCAGTTGCATACACAACCCCATGTGTGACAATCAAAAATGTCTCCAGACATTGCTGAATGTATCCTGGGAGACAAAATTATCCCTAGTCAAGAAGCACTGAGTTTCACATGTAAAACAATTAAATGGAATAAATCATCTAGAAACAGATCCTTACATATGTGGTCAACTGATTTTTTTACAATGGTATATAAGCGATTCAATAGAAAAATAAATGGACTTACAGTCTTTTATTTTTTTTGTAATTTGAAAAAGAACATTTAATTTTTTACCATATATAAAAATTAATTTAAAATGGATCATGGCCAGCAAGCCTCCTCAACCTCTTCCTCCCACCCATTCACGATTGTTAGTACCTGAGCACTCCTCCTGGGGGATTGAGGACAGGCTAACCCAACTTACCACTACCACCACAACTGGCATCCGCCTGCATGTACCACCTGCGGGCCTGGGGACTGTCCTGCCCAGCCCATCACAGCCACCAGTGCCAGTACAAACCTTTTGAGAGCCAAAGAGTTGTCCTGCCACTGCTGCTGTCATTGCCATGCCAGGCTCATTGCCATGGGGCCTGAGGACCTGGCCACCTACCTGACC